TTTAATTTACGTATTAGTAAAGTTAAAAAAAATTAAAAACCTAACTAACTAATAAACTAAGTAGTTGTTACTAAATAACTAATAATACTATAACTAACTATATATATATATATATATATATACACATCTGCCCAATTCCAACTGATAGCATGTAAAACAAATAAGGAATTAGAACTGTAAGCAAATGATACCTTAACAACAATTTGATTTATGTCATAACAGGTATGTATCTGTAAGTCATGAAAACAATTGAATGTAGAATCTATCCTTTACTTTAATACTTTGAGTAAATAATGTCTACAGTATCTCCAGCCTTGTTTTCTTACTTTTTTTATGATCCATATTTGCAGGTTTTTAAATTCCAATTTTTTTTATTTATCTTGTTTGTTGGCTTTTTATGCTCAACTATGGGCAAAGGATTACTTGATAAGGTGGGTAACTTTATACAATGTAATGATAATAAACAACCAGTAGCTAGCTGATACGGTTCATGATGATTTACTGTAGCTATCGATTATCTGTTCTCATTAATTCAAGATGTAAAATGTTAAGCTGCAGCTGGAGATTTGAGAAAATAGTGAGTATTTACAGTTTCTGTGTAAGTAAATTCTCTCTCTCTCTTTCTCTCTCTATATATATATGTATATAATGCATAGCAATGGGCAAATATATGTCTAGACTAAGACACAACCTCCACTAAGTATAAAATTTTGACCACAAGAAAAACAGCCATTTCAAATAAAATGTATACATTTAAAAGATTGCTTCGTGTCTTTTAAATTAATTATTCTATGAATGTGTGTAATAAAATTTAATACTGTGTATTGATTTTTTTTACTTCTTCATACATAATATAGGGGTTGGTTCCCTAAGTACATCAATTGTATAGCGTATAAAGCATTGAGTATCTACATGTTAGTCATCTAATGTTCATCTATTATTGGCTGGTAATTCCTGTTTCATCCTGTACCTTTAAGGGACACCAGGTATGTGTAAGAAAGCTAACTTTAAGAGGTAATGATAATATAATTTACACTAGAAATAGAATTATGATGTTTTTTAGCTTATGTAAAATATAGAAGATACAAATCAACTTTTCAATACCCATACAACCTTCGCAGTACTTTATTTAGTATTTTAAAAAATTAGTTTGCAACATACCAAGCTACTTTTGTTGTAACTGGCAAGAGAGTAATAATTACAAATGGGCCATTTTAAGCAATTTTTTTTTCTTTATAAGTCTAACACGTGTGCTTTTTATGTGTGCACAGCCTTAGCAGTCAATAATAAAGGTTTACAAGCGATGTTTGCGTAAGCCTAGTACTATTAGTATTAGGAGTAACAAGAGTAAACTAATCTTACTACCAATACCATTGATCCAATTTTATGGTCAATGTAAACGAAAGTCTAAGATAATGAATAAAAATAATATAAATGTTTAGACTTAAGAACAATAGATTGAATTCAATATTAACACCTTATTGTTATTGTATTATTATAAATAATACTCGTACCTAAGCCTTAAAAGTTAAAATGTTAAACGTAATTATTACTTTTAACTTAGGCCTAAGTCAGACATATTAATTTAATATTGTATTAATGATACAATCTACGTTGTTCAATTTTCATCAAAACACAAGTCAGAGGTGAAAAATGATAAGTGAATACGTTAAGTGAAATTTTGAAAAACAAAAATCATTAATACCCAGACTCACACCAACCACTTGAATTAAACGACAACGCCAAATCTCTACTACTGAGCCTAAACTAACAACTAGCTGTAACAATGGCGCCAATATCAAGAAAAGTGAATCACAAAACCAGATTTCTAAAGACATAATTAGAAAAAAATTAGAAAATAAGTATATTTTATAACACTACAAAATGAAAATACAAAATAGTTTTTTGAATTAACATGACAATTTGATATAATATGTTTTGCTAAACGTTTCACAAACTTATTAGGCATTTTAAATTATTTTGAATTAAACTGCCTGTTTCTAAACTTTTAAAAATATAAATTAAATATATTTTCAACATAAACTTCACAAAAAAAAAGACACATTAAACACATCAAGTTTTTTCCCTCCCAACCAAAATAATAAATAAATAGAAGGTTCTCGTTGATGTTTGATAAAATTACTAATACATAATATTTACAAAAAACGTTTGATAACTGATTAAATAAATGAGTGGAATACATTAGAAAATTCGTAATAATAGATGTCAAATACAGACTGATTTTTATTAATAGTAAGGGTAAAATATAGACGCTCTTACTTGATAGAAGTTTTAGGTGTGGGGGTATGCATAAAAGGCTTTGTTAATGGATTGCATCTGTCTAGGAAGTTTTGGGGTGACGTTTCGAGCTGCTAGCGCAGGTGTTTTTGTTCTATGTGCATGTATAAAAAAATCTCTTTGCTGTTTCTGGACGTATGTAGAAAGACTCTGACGTCAGTAACCAGCAAGATTTAAATGAATATTATATGCCAGCCAGTAAGGGTGAAGACGTATACAATTACCGTGAGTAAATATTTTGTTCGTTTGGGTTTGTTTCTCTCCTTTGTTGTCTACGTTCGTGTTCGATGCATTTTCGGTGTAATATATCCGGAACCAGCTTTTTGTGGATATCTTTGAACTTATTTATTGGACATCAGTCTACCACATGAACAAAAAATAAATGGGTACTCTTTATGCAATCAAGAAAAATAATCGCTATTCAAAGGATAGAAATACTTTTGAGATTAAGCAATTTTTTTGTTATACTAATGAGTTTTCTTTGCATTTTTGGTAAAGTTAACTACAAACGCACACTGAATTGTGCTTTATTTGTATTTTACTCTACTTCTATATTTCACCTCCGTTTTAATCCAAAATTAACGTTTTATTGATGTTTGATGAACATAAGATCATTTTTACTTTACTTTAGTTTTACCGTCAAAATAGGCTTTCAGAAATAAAGAAAAATGGGATATACTAAATCGCGAAACTGAATGGAAATACACACTACAACCGGGAATAGCGAGAATTGCAGTTTAATCATACAATAACAATATATTTAATTCGAAAATGAACTAAACCGTAAACAATACTCAGAGAAGCACATTGTGAGTTATGAAACAGCAGTCAGCAACATTATGTATTTTTAAATTATTTATATTTTCCAAATTCTGGAACAGACATGGCTGCTTCGAACAGTTTACAAAAACTTTAGCAACTTAACACACGAGAATGTTTACAAAAAGAATAGTTTAAAATATTTCAGATAAATAGTTACGAATTAACAAACAATACAATTTCAGTGATGAATTGCTATTTTGCAACAAGCTCAGAACTAAGCACAAAGTGAAAAAATATAACTGTCACAGCCAGGGTGTCAGGATACAATAATATTAAACAGACCGACTGTTACAGATTGGAAACTTATGAATCATAACTTAAACCAGAACCAAAATCAAGATTAGAGTTCAATATAAGTTTAATAAAAACAAGACAATTAATTCTATCGTACTTATGGTAAATGTGATTAAACTATATACCGTATTTTTCGGTGTATAAGACGCACTTTTTTACCCAAAAATGTTATGTCAAAATCTGCTTGCATCCTATACACCGAAGGTATGAATAATATATAGGTATATATTCGATATACACAAGCCATGTGTAAATGTAACTGAATAGGCATGCATAGTTTAGTTCAATTGAATGTGTTATTTATAACAATAGTAGTTTTTTCTTTTAAAAACATAACTATTTATAATGCTCCTTAAATGATAAAAAAATAAATTACAATGAAAGCAATGAAGATTTTGTAGGTTTTGAACCAAACTAAATAACAGTAAATTTTTTGTAGATTTACGGTATTTTCTTATTTTGATGTTCTGAGCTCTTTTGTGTTTAGAACAATATATACTCATTTTTAAAGTATCAAATTGAATTTTTGTTCAATAAAAATCTTTCAAATGCTACTGTAGCTTTTTTTCCCCCAAAACTTTGTCTTCAAAATAAGGGCACCTCTTAAATTCCGAAAAATACGTTAACAAAGCATGGGTTAAAAGTAACTTTACAAGTAAAGTAAACGTACTTTGAATTTAATAGAAACTAATGCTTACTTCAAATGTTGGATTCAAATACTCGTAATTTATAACAATTAGATATTCATCCAAGTCTATAGTTATCTAAAGTACACATGATTTTAAATACATTAATCTAAAGTGCTAGAATTCAACCCCTTCTATATATTTATAGCTACATTCATGTTGGATTACAATTGTAGTTCTAAAAGAGAAATTACAGCTATCAGACGGGAGGGTGTGCAATAAAATGTATTAGTTGTTTTATGAAATATTCTACAGTTCGTTGCTTTGCTACATACTCCTAAAAGCAAAAAACATAAATAAATTATCCATCTCTGAACTAATTTATAAAATTTAGAAGAGGATACTTCTCCGAATAAGCTGATTCAGATTGAATAATAGTTTCTAATCACTCAGCTTTTTATAACACTTATCTATCTTTTATTTATATATATACCAAACGTGATTTTTACTTGATATCTAATAAACACTATCGGTTTATTGTAATAAAAAGGACCTTTGTTTGTTTAATGTTAAGTACAAAGCTACACAACGAGCTATCTATGCTCTGCCCACCGCTGGTATGAAACCCGATTTTTAGCGTTATAAACCATCAGATTAACTCCTGAGCTAACACAGTGAGGATGGGGAAGGGTAGGCTTAAATTCACTGTTTCACAATACTGAAGGATCTACGCACAAGCAATGATCGTTACATTTTTAGTGCTAGACATTTCAAAACCATACGGTAAAAGTGGAGTGACTATTGTATTAGAATGGATCAATTTTACAGTGATCAGCCTATTTTCCCACGTATTTAAGCTACGTCGAAGTGCTAACGAACACGAAATAGGCTTAACTAATTATTAGCCTTATATTACTTTAGATTCTGAGATTCCGTGGCTTATTCATTCAGAACTTTAGATGTCTTCCCTACGTAGTCACGACTTATTAATAATTATATAAGTAACTTAAAATTATGTTGAATAGTTGACTTTAAAAATTTAACAGGATTAAGTAAAACAGTGTAGTTCATAAATAGATTATAATACATATGTATATATTTATTTTTAAAGTGACATGTAAATTACTTATGATAAGATGAGAATATGGATTACCTTATAATTTATTTATTCTTTCACTATAAGCCTCATGGTGGCTTAACGGCAAGTCTGAGAACTTATAATACTAAATTGGTTTTGATATCCGCGGTAGACTGAGCACAAGTAACTCATTGTACTTACAATAAACTCAAATGTAACTGCTGCCATCTCTCGGTATATTTAATGATTGACAATAATTACTATATTTGATGGAATGTGTGGTGTCAACATAACGTCTTCGAAAAAAAATGTTCGTTCGTTTGTTTAAAAAAAACCAACTTTTAATCGGAAGTGTAACTATTTAATTATGATATATATATATATATAATGAAAATAACAGAAATTTTAGGTGTCTTTATTCAATGCCATTAATAAGAAAGTTCTAAAATATAGGTGAAGAAATACTTTAATACCTATGAATGATTGCTACCATTAATAAAATTTTGATTTTTGCATTATTTACGTCCATGGTTGATTTTATGGTAGATAAAAACTTCAATAAACCTTTTGGGCGATAACAACAAACGTTAATGTTGTTTACTATGAAGGGTCAGAATACATCTTATTATAATGGACGTAGCGTGTATGTCAGTATCTATGTATGTAACCAAAACTCCTGAGCCATCTATTAAATGGTACCACAAACAAAAACCCACTTTGGGTATTCAAGATTTAGACAATTAGAAAAATAACTGTGGTATGTGCAACAACCATTTCTTTATAATAGAACACAGTTTTAAATAAAAGTACTCTCCTCACAAGAAGAACACGACTTTCACAAAGACTGTACGTGAGGGTTTGATTATATCTTTATTAATGTAATTTGTAAATGTAGAACTGAGAAACTGGAGTTCTTAAAAAACTATTATTTTTTCAATAAATGGTACCACTTTTAATACATATATAAATATTACAGTTTATATCAGTAAAATTTATGAAAATTTTAAGATCTGTCCATTGAATCATTTTGATGCAATGAGTTGCGTATGACTAAGGAACACAATCCTAACACTTTTCCCGTGTTTTACTTCCCTGAAAAAAATCATTGTTTTGAAAATGTTTATTTTTTCTATATGGTTTTTTTTTCAATGAGACATGAATACTACGATTAGTAAGTACTAGCACAAATAGCTGCCCGTAAGGCGGCGTTTCTGCAGTATTTATAATGAATATCGAAATATATTATTTCTATAAGCACTTGGAAACAAGTGAAACCTTTCAAACTTTGCTGACATCTACAAATTAAAAGCAATATATTACTGATTGTTGTTATATACACCTTATCAACTGATGCCGGTGACAGTTATTAGTAGTTTAGGGTAAAACTTAATATGTAGCTTTCTTTTTTTGTACATTAATAAATTTTCAAAAGATGTATATATAATATATATATATATTTGTTAAAGATTTTTTTTCCTTTTCACCAGAGGTGAAATTGAAAAGAAAATCTGTGAGGTAAAGGCCTAATACATTATTTGATTGGTCGTACCCTCTGTACACAAGTTACGGTCTTAATTTATCTCTTTATGGAATATAGGCCGTACTTAATAAAAACTTAATTAATGTTAGGTCTAAGACAAGTGGACTTGTAGATTTCGGTTTCTGTGATTAAATTGTTTTGTATCATTCTAGAAAT